CTCCTCCTCCACCACGCCCGCGAGCCCGCCCGCAAGCCGCAGCAGCGCCGCACGGTCCCCGCCCGCGCCGCCGCCGCCGGCGCCGCTCCCCTCCGCCGCCGCCGCGTGCAAATGCGCAGCCACGCCCTTGATCAGCGCGGTCGTCGCGGCGCCGGCGGCGGTGGCGGGGGGGTCTGCTCGCCGCAGCAGCCCGCGAAACGCGTCGGACGCCTCGGCGGCGGCGGCGCGCAGAAGCTCCTCCCTCTCTGCGCCGCCGACGGCCTCCTCCGCCAGTATGTCGCGCCGCAGCGCCCCGTAGTCTCGCAGCACGCCGCGCGCGCCCGCAGACAGCCTGGCGCCCCACTCTGCAGGCGGCCGGCTGGGCGGCGGCGCCATTGGTGCCGCCGCACCCGCCGCACCGCCGACCGGCAGCCGGCGGGCTGAGCGGCTCCCGCCCGCCCATCGACCTACCTCTCCGAGCCTCCTGGCGGCTCGCTGCAGCGTGTGAGGCGTGCCGCCGCCGCCGCCTCCGCCGCCTCCGCCTCCTCCGCCTCCTCCGCCTCCTGCGCCTCCTCCGCCTCCTCCGCCTCCTCCGCCGCCCCCGCCCCCGCCTCCGCCTCCGCCTCGGGCTGCGGCGGCGGCGCGGGGCAGTGGCTGCTGCGGCATGGCGTTGCTGGCGCGGAAGAGAGAGTACAGGCGCTCGAACTCCGCGGAGAAGGCGGACACCATCTCACTGTCCGATGTGACGAGCAAGTTCTCGCAGTTGCCTGTGGGGAGATGTGGGGAGATATGGGGAGATATGGGGAGATATGACGAGCAGGTTCTCGCAGTTGCCTGTGGGGAGATGTGGGGAGATGTGGGGAGATACGGGGAGATATGACGAGCAGGTTCTCGCAGTTGCCTGTGGGGAGATGTGGGGAGATATGGGGAGATATGGGGAGATATGACGAGCAGGTTCTCGCAGTTGCCTGTGGGGAGATGTGGGGAGATATGGGGAGAGAACTAGCAGGTTCTCGCAGTTGCCTGTGGGAGGTCTGAGGGAGATCTGAGGGAGATATGGGGGAACTCTGAGGGAGACCGCGGGAGATTGCGGGAGATTGCGGGAGATTGCAGCTGCCTCGCGCGTGCGCCGAGACCGTCCAGTTGAAGGAGCCGGTGAGGAGAAGCCTATCGAGATATGAGGGAGATCGGGGGAGATTGCGGGAGATTGCGGGAGATTGCCGGTGAGAAGAAGCCTCTTGTCGATCAGCACGAACTTGTGGTGCATCCGCGCCTGCGAGTCGTCTCTCTCGTGGCCTCCGACCACGGCAGAGACGCCCGCACGCGCCAGCTCGAAGATGCGCGAGCCTAGCCAGAGATATGGCGAGATATGGCGAGATATGGGGAGATAAGCGCGAGCTCGAAGATCCGCGAGCCGGTCGCGAAGGCTTGCTCCGCGTCTGAGACGACTCTGACGTACGCTCCTGCGCGGTGCCGCTCGAGCAGGGACCGCGTGAGCCGCTCGTCGGTGATGGTGTAGACGGCGGCGTCGATGCTGCTTTCGGAGGCGGAGAGGCGCCTCACCAGCCGGTCGAGCGAGCCGTCGCAGGGGAAGAAGAGCGCGTCGCGCGTGGCCGGCCTCGGGACGAGGTACGCGGTGTGCAGGCGGGCGAGGCAGTCCGCAGCGCCAAAGAGGAGGCGGGTGTCGCTGTCCGCCGTGTCCGACTCAACCACGAGATCGAGGATGCAGCGGCGCAGCCGGCCGAGCGCCTCCCGCGAGGGCGCGGGCAGGCGGCGGAGGAGCGCCTCGAACGCGTCCGCCGCGCCCGGCCGCTGCTGGAGGGCGGAGAGGGCAGCGTCCTCAAAGCCGGGAGGGAGGTGTGGGCGGGAGGACTGGCGCCAGGGGGCGAGGCTGAAGAGCGAGTCCTTGGCGGCGGAGAGCACTCCTTTCGTGAAGCCGCCGCCCCACTCCCTTCGCAGCCGCTTGGCAGGGAAGCTCTCGTCCCGTCCCGCCGTCTGGTGAATGAGCTCGAGCAGCTTGGTGGAGGCCGAGGCGCGGCGGTACAGCGGGCGCCGTCCAGAGCCGCCAGCCGGCCGCGCTGCTGTCCGCCGCCGCTTGCACAGGAAGAGAATGAAGGCAACAAGCAGGGCGATGGCGGCGGCCGCCCCGGAGGCGGCGGCAGCGGCCACAGACCCGCTGTGCGAAGGCACAGTGGCGCACGCGGCGGTCGGCGGTCTGTATAGCCGGCGTGGCAGGTGCAGCCAGCGGGGGAGCCTGCGCCTCGAGGTGCTGCGAGTCAGGGCGGACGGGCCACCTTTGCAGACCGACATTGAGCCCTCGCGGCCTGGCTGTAAAGGCCCGTCCGACATTGAGCCAAGGCCGAGGTGTGAATACAAAAGCTGGCAAAACAAAGAAAAAATTTGCCATCCAACTGTCTTGCGTCCACCCATACCGCGTTGGTGTCCAGTCCGAGCCTGACTGTTCTTCACCTTACTACATACATATAACGTCTTGCCTCGACATTGCCAAAATCCTGCTCGTGCAGGTGGGGACCCTGTCCTCGTCCCATCCCTCGTTTGGCGTGTCTGTTTTCTTTCTTTGAGTTCTTTTTTTTGAATTCTTTCTTTTTCGACATTGCCGCTGGTAGGCGCGCCGCGCCAAGCCATGGCGGGCGCGCCGCGGCCGCGCGCAACCTTCGTCACAATGCCAACCGCGCGCAGCCGTCGACCGGCAAGCACACGCCTCGACTCGGACACACTGTTCCGAGGGCAAGGGAGAGGGGTAGGCTCCAAGCCCGAGAGGGGAGCTTCCGAGACCCACTACAAGACCCCGCTCACATCATCCCGCGCCTCGCGGTCGGCGGGATTGCAATCAGTCTTCGCGTGCCGCCTGTCGTTCGATTCGGGCGCGTCCACGCCGACCCCTGCGCGCACCGCTCATCTTCAGCCCTCTTGGGGTTACTCTCGCGCTCACGCAGGGGAACCCGGCGGGACTCCCTTCCCCCCACCTCCGACGGGTTAGGTCGGTTCTGCGCCCCTTGGCGCCTGTGCATGTCCCGCGTGCCCGCCCGCCAAGGCTGGTGCCAGGGCCAACTCAACTGCCTGGCTGGTGCCAAGGCTCAAAGGCTCTCCTCTCCATCTCTCCTCCTGTACTCTCAAATTCTTTTGGAGGTGGGAGTTGGATGTTTCTCTCTTTTCTTGGGGATGATGGTTGTGTCGGCGAGCACTACGGTGTTGGCGGATTCGATCATCTGCCTGAGGACGACTTCCTTTATGGCGAGGGCGACGGCTTGTAAGGAAGCCGTCGCCTGCGCCTTGTCTGTCGTGTGAATCGTGCGTGTGCGAAAGGCTTAGGTTGTAAAATTCTTTTGGCACATTCTGGGAAACGGCCAGTGGTGGCAGGCGAGCCGAAGGACCGCCACCCTGGGCGCGGCCGCTCGCCGAGGCGGCTAGGCCCGGCCGCTGATGAGGGACCCTACCTCTGGTGCCTCTGCTCGCGCGGAGGGCCTCGAGCTCCACCAGCGGTGAGCGGCGCGCTAGGCAACAGCACAGCGCCGTCCGCTGTCTCGCCGACACACACGACCAACACACACACGCACGCACGCATCGCGCCGGCAGGGCCATCCCAGAGCAGCCCCCGCGCCCTTCGCCAGGCCTCGTGTCGTCGTTGAGAAGATGCTCAACCCCGACCGGATGCTCGACCGCCGGCTGTCGCAGGAGCTGCGCTGCAAACCACAGCAGCGCATGCATCGTCCCGCCCACCCTGCCGCGCCGTGCCGCGCAGGCCGAGACGCGAGGCATCGGCTGGGACGCCGGCCTCGGCGGCTTCATCGCCGCGGCCATCACCGGGGCCTATGCCGGCGCGGCGGTCGTGTGGGCAAACTACTCGTCTCCTCGGTTCCGAAAGGCGTTTGGCGTGTCGGGCAAGCTCGCGATGGTTGTGACGCCCGCCTTCTTCGCCTTCCTGCTCAAATCGCACCTCGTCGTCGCCTACGCCATCGCCGACAACCGAAAGCGCGCCGCAGCGCGAAGTGCCGAACAACAGCCTGCTCCAGCCACAGTGACTCGCCTGCCTCGTCCCGCAGGTACATCGCGCCACTCTCGGATCAGCGATGAGGAGGCGACGCCGGCAGAGCGCAAGCAGCGGCGTGTGGCGGCGTGTCGTGTGGGAGGTGTACCGGCTGCTCAGCCGTCAGGGTGGCGGCTGCATCCCGCGGGCGCCCAGGAGAGCGGAAGAGCGACACTGCGAAGCGAGCGGAGCTGCAAAAGTGCGTGTATGTGTCGCGCATTTTAGATTTCGTGCGGGGCACTCTGCGAGTGAAGACGTGCTGCTGCAACCTCAGTGCGTGTACTACTACAATACCCCTGTAACGTTCTCCGGACGAATCGACACACAACCAGCCGTTCTACATATATCGCGGGCCCCGAGGAGGCGCGGTGCAGTCGCGCTCGCGGCTCCAGTGTCTGTCCGCTAGCTTGTCGGTTGTCGGTCCGTTCCGCGTAAACGCGAGCGCCAACGGGCAGTCATGGAGTCGCCAAAGGCCGCGGACAAAAGAAAGGGCGAGAGCGCGAGGCGCGTGCCCACTGACCACTGACGCGAGCGGGTGAGAGGAGACTCGCTCCCCCTCCGCGCCCGAGCCGACCCGCGGGGCACGGGCTAGCAGCAGCGGCGCGGAGCAGCGGTCTCCTGCAGAGCTGCTCTACGAGGCGCCGGGCGCCGCGTCGTTCTCGTCGTCGTCGCTGACCTCGCCGCCAAGCGAGGATGGGCTGCGGCTCGCCTGAGGCAACGGAAGGGGAGGTCCACTTCCCCACGCACAAAAGGGGGGGGCGGGGGCAAGGGCCGGGCGGCCCTCGCGACTCCACGTCTGAGAGAGACAGCTTCCACACATGGCATTCAGCGTGCGAGGCCCGGTGCGCGCGGCCTCGTCGGCCCGCAGGGGGATGTCCAGTCGGCACACCTCGGCTGCACCTCGGCTGCACCTCGGCTGCACCTCGGCTGCATCTCGGCTGCACCTCGGCTGCATCTCGGCTGCATCTCGGCTCTCTCGCCTCGTCGACGCGCAGCAGGATGTCGGGCCGGCCCTGCGAATCTCGCACCACCAGAAGCTCGTCATCGAGGTACGAGACGAGGACCTATAGTGGCAACGGGGGATCGACTCAACGAGGTCCGCCCTCGCTTCGCAGCGCGTCGCCGGCGTGCGAGGGACGAGGACCGACCGCTTGTACTGCACCGGCCGCTGGAACGGCAGCTTCAGCGACATGTACTCGGACTCTGCCGCCTAAGGGAAGGGAAGGTCAGGTAAACTTCTCCACACTCACACGACGGTGGTGGGGCAAGGCCCAGTGCGCGTGGGTGAGCGGTGTGTGTGTGTGTGTGTGTGTGTGTGTGTGTGTGTGATTGCCGCCTCGTACGTCTCGACGAGGCGCACGGCGGACTCGGCCTAGAGGAGAAGAAGGAGAGGGTCGGAGAAGACGAGAGGGCAAGAGGCTACGAGACTGCGAGACTGCGAGACTACGAAGAGGAAATGATCATGTCACAAGGCGGACTGGCGATGTACACACATATACCTCGAGGCGCGACGACAGCTTGATCGTGTTTTCAAAGGAGAGCAGGCGCGTGCGGAGCGAGCCCTCCGCCCGCGGCTGCTCCTCGCGGATGGTGAGGTACGCGTCCTGCACGTCCGCGAGCTCCGCGCCCGACGGCGACTTGGGCGCCAGCCTCGACCCCTTTAGCAGCAGCATGAGCGCCTTGAGACTCGGCGTCGCGCCGGACGCGTACAGCACCTTCCACTTCCCGTTGAGCAGCGGCGAGGTCGCGGGCGAGCGGGTGGGGTTGGCGGACTCGAGCGCGAGCAGGATCTCGCCGAGGACCGCCTTGTCCGGCGCGGCGGCGGTGAAGCCGTCCGCGACCTCCGCCTTGAGCGCCTCCTTTGCGATGCTGCCCTCGTCGACGTCGAGCTCCTCGGCGAGGTCGGGGAAGGCTGGCTCCGGCGCATCCGGCTCGTCGGCGGCCGAGTCCGACGGCGCATCGTCGACCTATCGTGGGGGCGTAGACGACGCCGGTGAGTGCCAGGCCTGCCTCTCACCCTCGGCAGCGGCCGCGCTCCCTCGCCTGCATCAACGGAGCAGCGCGCAGCGCGAGCGGCGAGGCAATGGGGCGGACAGCGAGCCGCCCGCCGGGCGACAGCGAATAGGCGCTCGCGCAGAGCGAGCTGCAGCAGAGGAGGAGGACGGTGCGAGTCGACATGAAGCGGATGCTGCCAGGAAATCGTAGACGCGGAAGAAAACGCCGCGCAAAAAGTCAATACTGCACTCCATGTGCTCCAAGTCAGGACTTCGCACCGGGTATTGTGCTCAAGTGCTCAAGTGCTCAAGTGCTCAACCTCCCTCTCGGCTTCTCGCTGATATCCGTGTGTATCGCGCGCCTTGCGGGGGGTATCCGGTAAACTAGTCGCCGAAAATCGGGACGGCCGAAATCGTCGCCTCATAGGGTGTTCGTCGCCTGCTCTTGCGCGCGCCTGCTGCTCTCACGCGCGCCTGCTGCTCTCACTCACGCGCGCCTGCTGCTCGCGCCTGCTCGCGCCTGTGTGTTTGGCAAAAGCGTGCTCCCACACGTCTGAGCTCCTCTCCCGCCCGCGCTCGCAGAAACCATGCGTGAAGTCATCTCGATCCACCTCGGCCAGGCCGGTATCCAGGCCGGTAACGCGTGCTGGGAGCTGTACTGCCTCGAGCACGGCATCCAGCCCGATGGCCAGATGCCGTCCGACAAGACCATTGGCGGCGGCGACGATGCCTTCAACACCTTCTTCTCCGAGACTGGCTCCGGCAAGCACGGGTGGGGGAACGATGGTATGAATACCCAAGGTTGAACGGAAGGGCCTCAGCTTCATGTTTAGGCGCGTAGGAAGCTAGGACGGCACGCCAACATTTAGCAAGTGCTCGCGTCACACCGCAATCCTCGCTACCCAACGCGCGGCCAAAAAGCATATCCACCTCCATCAGCAGCCCCGGTAACGCCGCGTGTATTACCTCGCGCCATCCTCGTAGTGACTCTCGCGCGTGGCATTTGCTTGTCCGCCTGTGCCTCAAGCCACGAACGCACCGCCACTTCGCCGCCTCGCAAGACCGCGTCTCTGGCATGGGGCGCAGTGCACCGATGCATCTCTCCAATTTCGCCAGACACGCGCGGTGCCTCAGGCATGGAGACCGTACGCGAAGGGGTCTAAGCAGCCCCCTCTTCGCGCCGCGATGTGCCTCGCCTCTACCTGGAACCCGGGTGTGCCGTACACGGAAATTACCCAGAAATCCGCCCGCCGCGCGCCGGACGCTCCACAGCGCGAGGCGACGGCACCCGGCGCGCTCGTCGAGATTCGCGGCACCTGTGATCCTGTTCGCCAGGGTTCGTGTCGATCCGCGCGAGGCCTCTTTGCCGAGCGAGATCCGAGAACTTCTTAAGAGCCGAGATGGCAGATGCGAGCGCGGAGCCGGAGGCCGAAGGTGGAAGGAGACGAAAAGCAACCCTTTTCCTGGGAGCGGGGGGGCAGGCGGACATCGCTTCCAGGGGCGGGGGCGTGAGTAGAAGCACGCCCCCCTCCCTGGAAGCGATGTCCGCCTGCTCTGGCTAAAAGATCCGTAAGACTAGCGTGCACATACATGTTTTCAGACTTTCAGAGAGTCTCTCATGCAGCTGCCTCTCGAGGACGGCAAGCACAATCTTTACGCCGACGTATGCCGTATGCACCGTACGGCTCTACCTTAAGGTAGTAGAGCAAGGTTACGAGCTTCGCAAGCGGCTCCGGGAGGCTTCCCTTTGATGCCTGCGACGACGCAGGCTTGCGGCCTTCGAACTCTGCTCTCGTGGCCGCCCCAGAACGCAGCCGACGCAGGCCGCCGTTGCCCCCCTTTGCGAGAGCGAGCTTATTAGTTATTTGAGTACCGCGTGCCTCACTCATATACGTAATTGAGGTTTCGCACGAAAAAGAATTCTCCGGTCCGCTGGCTGAGTGTCTCTGTGCCGTCGCCGCGGCGCCGCCAACGTGCTACATCCTCCTGAACCCCAGCCACATTATCTCTCTCGATGCGTGAGTGTTAGAGTTGTTTGGCATTCCCGGTGTGGTGCAAAAAAACCGCACCTCACCAGCCGGGCAACGGACTCCGCTGCCGCTCCGCCGTGCGCCTCCACTTGCCGCCGGCACCGCGCTCCCTGCCAGAGCCAGCGCCCGCTCCCTTGCGCAATCGCGACCAGCCGCACGTCACCCGCTCGCCGTCCGCGTGCGGCGGGTCGCAGCCGTCGCCAACCTGCAGCCAAGAGATTGCACCGCCGTCGGGGTCGCTAGGAAGCGGGGAACGCGCGGCCAGCGAGTGCAGCGCGCTGCAGAGTGCTGCGCGTTGGAATGCGGCCGAGCGCGAGTCGAGCTCTAGGGCCGTCTGGCCTCGGCGGCGAAGAACTGCACGATGCCCTCGGCGCCGGCGAACTGTCGCGCCCACTGCGCGTGGTAGCAGCCTCCGTCGCTCGGGAAGACACAGAGGCTGACGTTTGCGGCGCAGCCGTGCCCGACGTGGCAGACGGCGCCGCCAACGCCGACGGCGCGCCGCGCCCCCTTGCAGCGGTTGAGGCTCAGCCAGCGGGCGTGCAGCGCCGCCGCGCCGACGCAGCCGCTGCGCCCGGCCCCGATGCCGCAGCAGCAGGCCGGTCCGCCCTCACAGCAGCCGCCGAGCTGGACAGCGCGGTCCGCCTCGCAGTGGTGCATCGAGACGGGGACTGGCGCGGGCGCATCGAACTCGTACTCGTGCCTACCGATAGGGGAGATATGGGGAGATATGGGGAGATATGGGGAGATATGGGGAGATATGGTCCGTACTCGTGCCTACCGCGGCGAGACAGCGCGCGAGCGTTCAGGGCGTGTGCCCTCCCGCGCGAGCGTTGCAGTCTCGGGCACGGCGTCTAGACGGCCATCTCCAGGCGCCGCCACCCAGTTGGGCCTCGAGGTTTATCGAGTTCAGGCTACGAGC